AACCTGACCCTGAATTGTTCTGATCCTGGTTCTAGACCTGATCCTGATTCTAAATCTGATCCTGATCCTGATTCTAAACCTGACCCTGAATTGTTCTGATCCTGGTTCTAGACCTGATCCTGATTCTAAATCTGATCCTGATCCTGATTCTAAACCTGATCCTGATCGTTATTCTAAACCTGATCCTGATCCTGATTCTAAACCTGATCCTGATTCTAAATCTGATCCTGATCGTTATTCTAAACCTGATCCTGATTCTAACCTGATCCTGATCGTTATTCTAAACCTATTCCTGATCGTTATTCTAAACCTATTCCTGATTCTAAACCTGATCCTGATCCTGATTCTAAACCTGATCCTGAGTCTAAATCTGATCCTGATCGTTATTCTAAACCTGATCCTGATTCTAAACCTGATCGTCATTCTAAATCTGATCCTGATCGTTATTCTAAACCTGATCCTGATTCTAAACCTGATCCTGATCGTTATTCTAAACCTGATCCTGATTCTAAACCTGATCCTGAGTCTAAATCTGATCCTGATCGTTATTCTAAACCTGATCCTGAGTCTAAATCTGATCCTGATCGTTATTCTAAACCTGATCCTGATTCTAAACCTGATCCTGATTCTAAATCTGATCCTGATTGTTATTCTAAACCTGATCCTGATTCTAAACCTGATCCTGATTCTAAATCTGATCCTGATCGTTATTCTAAACCTGATCCTGATTCTAAACCTGATCCTGATTCTAAATCTGATCCTGACCGTTATTCTAAACCTGATCCTGATTCTAAACCTGATCCTGATCGTTATTTTAAACCTGATCCTGATCCTGATTCTAAACCTGATCCTGAGTCTAAATCTGATCCTGATCGTTATTCTAAACCTGATCCTGATTCTAAACCTGATCCTGATCCTGATCCTAAACCTGATCGTTATTCTAAACCTGATCCTGATTCTAAACCTGATCCTGATCGTTATTCTAAACCTGATCCTGATTCTAAACCTGATCCTGATCGTTATTCTAAACCTGATCCTGATTCTAAACCTGATCCTGATTCTAAACCTAATCCTGATTCTAAACCTGATCCTGAGTCTAAACCTAATCCTGATTCTAAACCTGATCCTGAGCGTTATTCTAAACCTGATCCTGATCCTGATTCTAAACCTGATCCTGAATTGTTCTGCTCCTGATCCTCATCAGATATTTCTGAGGGGTGATACTGCTGACACCCTCTGCTCCTCCTCATACTCCAACTGATCACACCTTTCTAACACCATCACCATGACAACCCTGTTTTAAGGTGTCACACTCTCAGCTGGTCCTGGACTATGAAGCAGGATTTGGGGTTAGAGGTCACTTCAGGGTTAACTCTGGGTTTTCAGTCCTTAGAAGGTCGTTCCCTTCTTACCTGAGTATATCGCCATGGTAACCTATGCTACACACCTCACCTGCTCCAGGTTATGTTGGAGATAAGAGGTCAACCTGTGGAAGTCTCCACCCACTGACCAATCAGATCTTTTGATGGTGGAGGCGATGGAGAGGGGGGCACATGAGAGAGTCAGAGACACACATCCAGTTATCTTCAAGCTAACGATGGGACTGAAATATAATCATCTGTGTTTTAAACCTCTTTATATGATTAATACAGTTTGTTAGAGATGATGGGGCGGCTGTGGCTCAGTTGGTAGAGTTGTTGCCTCTCAACCAAAAGGTTGAGGGTTCAATCACCAGTTGAGCAACATGTCCGATGTGTCCTTGGGCAAGACACTTAACCCTGCATTCCTCCTGCTTCTTCAGTGGTGGTGTATGATTGGATTAATGATGTTCTTACTTTCTGATGTCACTTTGGATAAAAGCATCTGCTGAGTGAAATGTAACATTGTAACATGATGACAGGACACTCAGTCATGATTGTGATATGAAGCTAGCTCCACCCCTTCTATGTGAACATGCTCTCTGAAACTCGAGAGTTTAACGGTCTGCTGAAACACATTTATTAAATATATGATGTGATATGTTTCTGTGACCCCTGACCCCTGACCGCTGACCGCTGACCCCCCCCTCTGATCAGGTGAGTCAAAAACATGTTTAGGGTTTGATCCTCTGTCCTTAGTTTCATCTCTTCTTCTTTGTTCTTCCTCCTGCTCTTCTTCCTGCTCTTCCTCCTCTTCCTCTTCTTCTTTGTTCTTCCTCTTCCTCCTCCTCTTCCTCCTCTTCCTCTTCTTCTTTGTTCTTCCTCTTCCTCCTCTTCCTCTTCTTCTTTGTTCTTCCTCCTGCTCTTCCTCCTCTTCCTCTTCTTCTTTGTTCTTCCTCTTCCTCCTGCTCTTCCTCCTCTTCCTCTTCTTCTTTGTTCTTCCTCTTCCTCCTCTTCCTCTTCTTCTTTGTTCTTCCTCTTTCTCCTCCTCCTCTCCTCCTCCTCCTCTTCCTCCTCTCCTCCTCCTCCTCTCTCCTCCTCCTCTTCCTCCTCTCCTCCTCCTCCTCCTCTCCTCCTCTCCTCCTCTCCTCCTCTCCTCCTCCTCCTCTTCTCCTCCTCTTCCTCCTCTCCTCTCCTCCTCCTCCTCTTCCTCCTCCTCTTCCTCCTCTCCTCCTCTTTCTCCTCCTCCTCTTCCTCCTCTTACTCTTCCTCCTCTTCCTCCTCTCCTCCTCTTCCTCCTCTTCCTCCTCTCCTCCTCTTTCTCCTCCTCCTCTTCCTCCTCTTACTCTTCCTCCTCCTCCTCACGTTCAGTAAATCAGGTGATCTAGAGGAGGAGCTAAAAAATGTCACCAACAACCTGAAGTCTCTGGAGGCTCAGGCTGAGAAGGTAAAGTATGAGCTGATGATACAGAGAGCAGTACAGTGTGTGTGTGTGTGTGTGTGTGTGTGTGTGTGTGTGTGTGTGTGTGTGTGTCTCTCTCTGTGTGTCTGTGTGTCTGTGTGCATGTGTGTCTCTGTGTGTGTGTCTCTGTGTGTGTGTGTGTGTGTGTGTGCGTGTGTTCACCTGTGTGTGTGTGCGTGTGTGTGTGTGTGTGTGCGATCTTGTAAACAATCAGTGGAGTTATTGTAAACAAAGATCTACATCTTCTGTTTTAATGTAAATGTCAAATTATGAAATTATTGTTTCAACATGTTAAATGCGATTGGACATGTTTAATGTGTTTAACGTGTTTAACGTGTTTAACGTGTTTAACGTGTTTAACGTGTTTAACGTGTTTAACGTGTGCTCTTTCTGTTTCAGTATTCTCAAAAGGAGGACAAATATGAAGAAGAAATCAAAGTTCTCACAGACAAACTGAAAGAGGTCACTCTCACTCTCACTGTACAACACTGACCCCTACAGGCCTGATGATGTACTGCAGTCTGTGTCATGATTCATATTAAATCAGTGTGTGTGTGTGTGTGTGTGTCTGTCTGTGTGTGTCTGTCTGTATGTGTGTGTGTGTGTGGTGTGTGTGTGTGTGTGTCTGTGTGTGTGTGTCTGTGTGTGTGTGTGTGTGTGTGTGTGTGTGTGTCTGTGTGTGTGTGTGTGTGTGTGTGTGTGTGTGTGTGTGTGTGTGTGTGTGTGTCTGTCTGTGTGTGTCTGTCTGTGTGTGTCTGTGTGTGTGTGTGTGTGTCTGTCTGTGTGTGTCTGTGTGTGTGTGTGTGTGTGTGTCTGTCTGTGTGTGTCTGTGTGTGTGTGTGTGTGGGGGTGTGTGTGTGTGTGTGTGTGTGTGTGTGTGTGTGTGTGTCTGTCTGTATGTGTGTGTGTGTCTGTGTGTGTGTGTGTCTGTGTGTGTCTGTCTGTATGTGTGTGTGTGTGTGTGTGTGTGTGTGTGTGTGTCTGTCTGTATGTGTGTGTGTGTGTGGTGTGTGTGTGTGTGTGTCTGTGTGTGTGTGTGTGTGTGTGTGTGTGTGTGTCTGTGTGTGGTGTCTGTCTGTGTGTGTCTGTCTGTGTGTGTCTGTGTGTGTGTGTGTGTGTCTGTCTGTGTGTGTCTGTGTGTGTGTGTTGTGTGTGTCTGTGTGTGTGTGTCTGTCTGTGTGTGTCTGTCTGTATGTGTGTGTGTGTGGTGTGTGTGTGTGTGTGTCTGTGTGTGTGTGTGTGTGTGTGTGTGTGTGTGTGTCTGTGTGTGTGTGTCTGTCTGTGTGTGTCTGTCTGTGTGTGTCTGTGTGTGTGTGTGTGTGTCTGTCTGTGTGTGTCTGTGTGTGTGTGTGTGTGTGTGTCTGTCTGTGTGTGTCTGTGTGTGTGTGGGGTGTGTGTGTGTGTGTGTGTGTGTGTGTGTGTCTGTCTGTATGTGTGTGTGTGTCTGTGTGTGTGTGTGTCTGTGTGTGTCTGTCTGTATGTGTGTGTGTGTGTGTGTGTGTGTTTCAGGCTGAGACCCGTGCAGAGTTTGCAGAGCGATCTGTGGCCAAACTAGAGAAGACCATCGACGACCTTGAAGGTATTTATCATCAGCATTCTGAACCAATAGGAGCGTAGTCAGCTCGGTACTCTGCAGTAGGATGTTCCGTTTCCATGGTAACTTCAGGGTTAGCTGAGGATAACTAAAGGTTACTAAAGGTCACAAGAGAGAACTGAAGGTTACTAAAGGTCACTAGATATAACTAAAGGTTACTAAAGGTCACTAGATATAACTAAAGGTTACTGAAGGTCACTAGACATAACTAAATGTTACTAAAGGTCACTAGACATAAATAAAGGTCACTAGACATAACTAAATGTTACTAAAGGTCACTTGACATAAATAAAGGTCACTAGACATAAATAAAGGTTACTAGACATAAATAAAGGCCACTAGACATAAATAAAGGTTACTAAAGGTCACTAGACATAAATAAAGGTCACTAGACATAAATAAAGGCCACTAGACATAAATAAAGGTTACTAAAGGTCACTAGACATAAATAAAGGTCACTAGACATAACTAAATGTTACTAAAGGTCACTAGACATAAATAAAGGTCACTAGACATAACTAAATGTTACTAAAGGTCACTAGACATAAATAAAGGTCACTAGACATAAATAAAGGCCACTAGACATAACTAAATGTTACTAAAGGTCACTAGACATAAATAAAGGTCACTAGACATAACTAAATGTTACTAAAGGTCACTAGACATAAATAAAGGTCACTAGACATAAATAAAGGTTACTAGACATAAATAAAGGCCACTAGACATAAATAAAGGTTACTAAAGGTCACTAGACATAAATAAAGGTCACTAGACATAACTAAATGTTACTAAAGGTCACTAGACATAAATAAAGGTCACTAGACATAAATAAAGGTTACTAGACATAAATAAAGGCCACTAGACATAAATAAAGGTTACTAAAGGTCACTAGACATAAATAAAGGTCACTAGACATAAATAAAGGCCACTAGACATAAATAAAGGTTACTAGACATAAATAAAGGCCACTAGACATAAATAAAGGTTACTAAAGGTCACTAGACATAAATAAAGGTCACTAGACATAACTAAATGTTACTAAAGGTCACTAGACATAAATAAAGGTTACTAGACATAAATAAAGGTCACTAGACATAAATAAAGGTTACTAGACATAAATAAAGGTCACTAGACATAAATAAAGGTTACTAGACATAAATAAAGGCCACTAGACATAAATAAAGGTTACTAAAGGTCACTAGACATAAATAAAGGTCACTAGACATAAATAAAGGCCACTAGACATAAATAAAGGTTACTAAAGGTCACTAGACATAAATAAAGGTCACTAGACATAACTAAATGTTACTAAAGGTCACTAGACATAAATAAAGGTCACTAGACATAAATAAAGGCCACTAGACATAACTAAATGTTACTAAAGGTCACTAGACATAAATAAAGGTCACTAGACATAACTAAATGTTACTAAAGGTCACTAGACATAAATAAAGGTCACTAGAGATAAATAAAGGTTACTAGACATAAATAAAGGCCACTAGACATAAATAAAGGTTACTAAAGGTCACTAGACATAAATAAAGGTCACTAGACATAACTAAATGTTACTAAAGGTCACTAGACATAAATAAAGGTCACTAGACATAAATAAAGGTTACTAGACATAAATAAAGGCCACTAGACATAAATAAAGGTTACTAAAGGTCACTAGACATAAATAAAGGCCACTAGACATAAATAAAGGTCACTAGACATAAATAAAGGTTACTAGACATAAATAAAGGCCACTAGACATAAATAAAGGTTACTAAAGGTCACTAGACATAAATAAAGGCCACTAGACATAAATAAAGGTCACTAGACATAAATAAAGGTTACTAGACATAAATAAAGGCCACTAGACATAAATAAAGGTTACTAAAGGTCACTAGACATAAATAAAGGCCACTAGACATAAATAAAGGTTACTAAAGGTCACTAGACATAAATAAAGGTCACTAGACATAAATAAAGGTTACTAGACATAAATAAAGGCCACTAGACATAAATAAAGGTTACTAAAGGTTACTAGACATAAATAAAGGTCACTAGACATAAATAAAGGTCACTAGACATAAATAAAGGCCACTAGACATAACTAAATGTTACTAAAGGTCACTAGACATAAATAAAGGCCACTAGACATAACTAAATGTTACTAAAGGTCACTAGACATAAATAAAGGCCACTAGACATAACTAAATGTTACTAAAGGTCACTTGACATAAATAAAGGTTACTAAAGGTCACTAGACATAAATAAAGGTCACTAGACATAAATAAAGGTTACTAGACATAAATAAAGGTAACTAAAGGTCACTAGACATAAATAAAGGTTACTAAAGGTCACTAGACATAAATAAAGGTCACTAGACATAAATAAAGGTTACTAGACATAAATAAAGGTAACTAAAGGTCACTAGACATAAATAAAGGTCACTAGACATAAATAAAGGTTACTAAAGGTCATTAGACATAAATAAAGGTCACTAGACATAAATAAAGGTAACTAAAGGTCACTAAACATAACTAAAGGTAACTAAAGGTCACTAGACATAACTAAAGGTTACTAGAGATAATAAGAGATAATTAGAGATAACCTGTGTATGTCGAACTCTTCGTACTTCAGGCCTCAGGTGTGTCTCTCTGCTCCTCACAGCTGACACCTTGAATCAACCCTAGATCATTGGGGGGGGGGGGGGTGTCCAGAATAGTCTGGCTGATGAACGTCATCAATCAAACATCCCATCACAAACATCCTTCACCTTTAAAAGTCCTGTTTTTACCTAATTTCACCTTTCTGTTTCCTGTGTGTGTGTGTGTGTGTGTGTGTGTGTAGATGAGGTGTATGCTCAGAAGCTGAAGGGTAAAGCTCTCAGTGAGGAGCTCGATCTCGCCCTGAACGACATGACCACCCTGTAGTTTTCACCCACTTCCTGTCTACACCTGCTGATTTCCTGTCCAAAACTGCTGACTTCCTGTCTACACCTGCTTACTTCCTGTCTACACCTGTCCCTCCCTATGTGTCTCTGTTCACTGAGCTCAGATTCCCCTCTTCCCTGTTAGAAATCTATTAAAGCCTTTTGACCTTTTTGAATCTTCCTGTCTCTTTTCTTCTGTTGACACCCTCTACAGGCTGTTTCAGGGTACTACAGTGTAAATGAACTTATAGTTAATGTATTTATCATAGAGCCTGAACCTTTTATCTGTTGGCTGTCGATAAAAAAAGTCATCAGTGTTGATTTCTGATAAAAATAATAATAATGGTTTTTAATGGTGTGACTGTGCAGTTTGTCCAGCAGAGGGCGCTGTGACTCCTCTCAGCACTGCGTGCATCACACCTTTAATAAAAGTTTTATATTGTTTATTAAAATAGTTAACAGCTAAATGTGGTCTTCCAGAAACCTGGATCAGAACCAGACTTATGTAGAACAGACAGAAACCTGGATCAGAACCAGACTCAACCTGGATCAGAACCAGACTCATGATGAACAGACAGAAACCTGGATCAGAACCAGACTCATGATGAACAGACAGAAACCTGGATCGTAACCAGACTCATGTAGAACAGAAACCTGGATTAGAACCAGACTCACGTTGAACAGACAAAAACCTGGATCAGAACCAGACTCATCTAGAACAGGCAGAAACCTGGATCAGAACCAGACTCAACCTGGATCAGAACCAGACTCATGATGAACAGACAGAAACCTGGATCGTAACCAGACTCATGTAGAACAGAAACCTGGATTAGAACCAGACTCACGTTGAACAGACAAAAACCTGGATCAGAACCAGACTCATCTAGAACAGGCAGAAACCTGGATCAGAACCAGACTCATGATGATACTTGTGTGCAGCGTTAGCAGTCTAACATTTTTTTTTTTTGAAGATTTATTTTGAGCTTTTTCGTGCCTTTAATACAGAGGATAGAGTCAGAAACCAGAGAGAGAGGACAGTGGATAGAGTCAGAAACCAGAGAGAGAGGACAGTGGATAGAGTCAGAAACCAGAGAGAGAGGACAGTGGATAGAGTCTGAAACCAGAGAGAGAGAGAGGACAGTGGATAGAGTCAGAAACCAGAGAGAGAGAGGACAGTGGATAGAGTCAGAAACCAGAGAGAGAGGACAGTGGATAGAGTCTGAAACCAGAGAGAGAGAGGACAGTGGATAGAGTCTGAAACCAGAGAGAGAGAGAGAGGACAGTGGATAGAGTCAGAAACCAGAGAGAGAGAGAGAGGACAGTGGATAGAGTCTGAAACCAGAGAGAGAGAGGACAGTGGATAGAGTCAGAAACCAGAGAGAGAGAGGACAGTGGATAGTCTGAAACCAGAGAGAGAGAGAGGACAGTGGATAGAGTCGAAACCAGAGAGAGAGAGAGGACAGTGGATAGAGTCTGAAACCAGAGAGAGAGAGGACAGTGGATAGAGTCAGAAACCAGGAGAGAGAGGACAGTGGATAGTCTGAAACCAGAGAGAGAGAGGACAGTGGATAGAGTCTGAAACCAGAGAGAGAGAGAGAGGACAGTGGATAGAGTCAGAAACCAGAGAGAGAGAGAGGACAGTGGATAGAGTCAGAAACCAGAGAGAGAGGACAGTGGATAGAGTCAGAAACCAGAGAGAGAGAGAGGACAGTGGATAGAGTCAGAAACCAGGGAGAGAGAGGACAGTGGATAGAGTCTGAAACCAGAGAGAGAGGACAGTGGATAGAGTCTGAAACCAGAGAGAGAGAGGACAGTGGATAGAGTCAGAAACCAGAGAGAGAGAGGACAGTGGATAGAGTCTGAAACCAGAGAGAGAGAGGACAGTGGATAGAGTCTGAAACCAGAGAGAGAGAGAGGACAGTGGATAGAGTCAGAAACCAGAGAGAGAGAGGACAGTGGATAGAGTCAGAAACCAGAGAGAGAGAGGACAGTGGATAGAGTCTGAAACCAGAGAGAGAGAGAGGACAGTGGATAGAGTCAGAAACCAGAGAGAGAGAGGACAGTGGATAGAGTCAGAAACCAGAGAGAGAGAGGACAGTGGATAGAGTCTGAAACCAGAGAGAGAGAGAGGACAGTGGATAGAGTCGAAACCAGAGAGAGAGAGAGAGGACAGTGGATAGAGTCGAAACCAGAGAGAGAGAGGACAGTGGATAGAGTCAGAAACCAGAGAGAGAGAGGACAGTGGATAGAGTCAGAAACCAGAGAGAGAGAGAGGACAGTGGATAGAGTCAGAAACCAGAGAGAGAGAGGACAGTGGATAGAGTCTGAAACCAGAGAGAGAGAGGACAGTGGATAGAGTCTGAAACCAGAGAGAGAGAGGACAGTGGATAGAGTCAGAAACCAGAGAGAGAGAGAGGACAGTGGATAGAGTCGAAACCAGAGAGAGAGAGGACAGTGGATAGAGTCAGAAACCAGAGAGAGAGGACAGTGGATAGAGTCAGAAACCAGAGAGAGAGAGAGGACAGTGGATAGAGTCAGAAACCAGAGAGAGAGGACAGTGGATAGAGTCAGAAACCAGAGAGAGAGGACAGTGGATAGAGTCTGAAACCAGAGAGAGAGAGAGGACAGTGGATAGAGTCAGAAACCAGGAGAGAGAGGACAGTGGATAGTCTGAAACCAGAGAGAGAGAGAGGACAGTGGATAGAGTCAGAAACCAGGAGAGAGAGGACAGTGGATAGAGTCTGAAACCAGGAGAGAGAGAGGACAGTGGATAGAGTCAGAAACCAGGAGAGAGAGGACAGTGGATAGAGTCTGAAACCAGAGAGAGAGGACAGTGGATAGAGTCAGAAACCAGAGAGAGAGAGGACAGTGGATAGAGTCTGAAACCAGAGAGAGAGAGGACAGTGGATAGAGTCTGAAACCAGAGAGAGAGAGGACAGTGGATAGAGTCAGAAACCAGAGAGAGAGAGGACAGTGGATAGAGTCTGAAACCAGAGAGAGAGAGGACAGTGGATAGAGTCGAAACCAGAGAGAGAGGACAGTGGATAGAGTCTGAAACCAGAGAGAGAGAGAGGACAGTGGATAGAGTCTGAAACCAGGGAGAGAGAGAGGACAGTGGATAGAGTCTGAAACCAGAGAGAGAGAGAGGACAGTGGATAGAATCTGAAACCAGAGAGAGAGAGGACAGTGGATAGAGTCTGAAACCAGAGAGAGAGAGGACAGTGGATAGAGTCAGAAACCAGAGAGAGAGAGAGGACAGTGGATAGAGTCGGAAACCAGGGAGAGAGAGGACAGTGGATAGAGTCAGAAACCAGGGAGAGAGAGCGGGGAATGACATGCGGAAAGGGGCCACGAGTGGAAGCGAACCCGGGCCTACCGCTCGAGACGAGACGCATCTCAATGCATGGGATTTGCGTCCTAACCATTGCGCCACCAGCGCGCCCCAGCAGTCTAACATTTTCATCTGATAAATTAGGTTTATATTCAGAGAGAAAAGATTGAAAAGTATAATCTTCATGAATCAACAAGAATATCTGTAGAACCTCACAGTAAAACTGAAACAGGTGGTGACTATAGGACTGGTTCCAGGACCAGGTCCTGTATTTAGAGTGACTATAGGACTGGTTTCAAGACTAGGTCCTGTATTTAGAGTGACTATGGGACTGGTTCCAGATCCAGGTCCTGTATTCAGAGTGACTATAGGACTGGTTTCAGAACCAGGTCCTGTATTCAGAGTGACTATAAGACTAGTTCCAGGACAGGTCCTGTATTTAGAGTGACTATAAGCCTAGTTCCAGGACCAGGTCCTGTATTCAGAGTGACTATAGACTAGTTCCAGGACCAGGTCCTGTATTCAGAGTGACTATAGGATAGTTCCAGGAACAGGTCCTGTATTTAGAGTGAACTATAGGACTGGTTTCAGGACAGGTCCTGTATTTAGAGTGACTATAGGACTGGTTCCAGACCAGGTCCTGTATTCAAAGTGACTATAGGACTGGTTTCAAGACTAGGTCCTGTATTTAGAGTGGACTATGGGACTGGTTCCAGATCCAGGTCCTGTATCAGAGTGACTATAGGACTGGTTTCAGACCAGGTCCTGTATTCAGAGTGACTATAAGACTAGTTCCAGGACCAGGTCCTGTATTTAGATGACTATAAGACTAGTTCCAGGACCAGGTCCTGTATTTCAGAGTGACTATAAGACTAGTTCCAGGACCAGGTCCTGTATTCAGAGTGACTATAGGACTAGTTCCAGGACCAGGTCCTGTATTTAGAGTGACTATAGGATGGTTTCCAGGACCAGGTCCTGTATTTAGAGTGACTATAGGACTGGTTTCCAGGACCAGGTCCTGTATTCAGAGTGACTATAGGAATGGTTCAGGTTCAGGTCCTGTATTTTAGAGTGACTATAGAATGGTTTCAGGTTCAGGTCCTGTATTTAGAGTGACTATAGGACTGGTTCCAGGACCAGGTCCTGTATTCAGAGTGACTATAGGAATGGTTTCAGGACCAGGTCCTGTATTCAGAGTGACTATAGGACTGGTTCAGGACCAGGTCCTGTATTCAGAGTAACTATAGGACTGTTCCAGGACCAGGTCCTGTATTTAGAGTGACTGAAGAACCCGTTTCAGGTCCAGGTCCTGTATTCAGAGTGACTATAGGACTGGTTTCAGGACCAGGTCCTGTATTCAGAGTGACTATAGGACTGGTTTCAGGACCAGGTCCTGTATTCAGAGTAACTATAGGACTGGTTCCAGGACCAGGTCCTGTATTTAGAGTGACTGAAGAACCTGTTTTAGGTCCAGGTCCTGTATTTAGAGTGACTAGAGAACCTGTTTCAGGACCAGGTCCTGTATTCAGAGTGACTATGGGACTCGTTTCAGGACCAGGTCCTGTATTTAGAGTGACTATAGGACAAGTTCCAGGACCAGGTCCTGTATTCAGAGTGACTATAGGACTGGTTTCAGAACCAGGTCCTGTAGTCAGAGTAACTATAGGACTGGTTCCAGGACCAGGTCCTGTATTCAGAGTGACTATAGGACTGGTTTCAGAACCAGGTCCTGTATTCAGAGTGACTATAGGACTGGTTTCAAGACTAGGTCCTGTATTTAGAGTGACTATGGGACTGGTTCCAGATCCAGGTCCTGTATTCAGAGTGACTATAGGACTGGTTTCAGAACCAGGTCCTGTATTCAGAGTGACTATAAGACTAGTTCCAGGACCAGGTCCTGTATTCAGAGTGACTATAAGACTAGTTCCAGGACCAGGTCCTGTATTCAGAGTGACTATAGGACTAGTTCCAGGACCAGGTCCTGTATTTAGAGTGACTATAGGACTGGTTTCAGGACCAGGTCCTGTATTTAGAGTGACTATAGGACTGGTTCCAGGACCAGGTCCTGTATTCAGAGTGACTATAGGAATGGTTTCAGGTTCAGGTCCTGTATTTAGAGTGACTATAGGAATGGTTTCAGGTTCAGGTCCTGTATTTAGAGTGACTATAGGACTGGTTTCAAGACCAGGTCCTGTATTCAGAGTGACTATAGGAATGGTTTCAGGACCAGGTCCTGTATTCAGAGTGACTATAGGACTGGTTTCAGGACCAGGTCCTGTATTCAGAGTAACTATAGGACTGGTTCAGGACCAGGTCCTGTATTTAGAGTGACTGAAGAACCCGTTTCAGGTCCAGGTCCTGTATTCAGAGTGACTATAGGACTGGTTTCAGGACCAGGTCCTGTATTCAGAGTGACTATAGGACTAGTTCCAGGACCAGGTCCTGTATTTAGAGTGACTATAGGACTGGTTTCAGGACCAGGTCCTGTATTTAGAGTGACTATAGGACTGGTTCCAGGACCAGGTCCTGTATTCAGAGTGACTATAGGAATGGTTTCAGGTTCAGGTCCTGTATTTAGAGTGACTATAGGAATGGTTTCAGGTTCAGGTCCTGTATTTAGAGTGACTATAGGAATGGTTTCAGGACCAGGTCCTGTATTCAGAGTGACTATAGGACTGGTTTCAGGACCAGGTCCTGTATTCAGAGTGACTATAGGACTGGTTTCAGGACCAGGTCCTGTATTCAGAGTAACTATAGGACTGGTTCCAGGACCAGGTCCTGTATTTAGAGTGACTGAAGAACCCGTTTCAGGTCCAGGTCCTGTATTCAGAGTGACTATAGGACTGGTTTCAGGACCAGGTCCTGTATTCAGAGTGACTATAGGACTGGTTTCAGGACCAGGTCCTGTATTCAGAGTAACTATAGGACTGGTTCCAGGACCAGGTCCTGTATTTAGAGTGACTGAAGAACCTGTTTCAGGACCAGGTCCTGTATTCAGAGTGACTATGGGACTCGTTTCAGGACCAGGTCCTGTATTTAGAGTGACTATAGGACAAGTTCCAGGACCAGGTCCTGTATTCAGAGTGACTATAGGACTGGTTTCAGAACCAGGTCCTGTAGTCAGAGTAACTATAGGACTGGTTCCAGGACCAGGTCCTGTATTCAGAGTGACTATAGGACTAGTTCCAGGACCAGGTCCTGTATTTAGAGTGACTGAAGAACCCGTTTCAGGTCCAGGTCCTGTATTCTGAGTGACTATAGGACTGGTTTCAGGACCAGGTCCTGTATTCAGAGTGACTATAGGACTGGTTTCAGGACCAGGTCCTGTATTTAGAGTGACTATAGGACTGGTTTCAAGACTAGGTCCTGTATTTAGAGTGACTATGGGACTGGTTCCAGATCCAGGTCCTGTATTCAGAGTGACTATAGGACTGGTTTCAGGACCAGGTCCTGTATTTACAGTGACTATAGGACTGGTTTCAGGACCAGGTCCTGTATTTACAGTGACTATAGGACTGGTTCCAGATCCAGGTCCTGTATTCAGAGTGACTATAGGACTGGTTTCAGGACCAGGTCCTGTATTTACAGTGACTATAGGACTGGTTTCAAGACCAGGTCCTGTATTTAGAGTGACTATGGGACTGGTTCCAGATCCAGGTCCTGTATTTACAGTGACTATAGGACTGGTTCCAGGACCAGGTCCTGTATTTACAGTGACTATAGGACTGGTTTTAGGTCCAGATCCTGTATTTAGAGTGACTAGAGAACCCGTTTCAGGACCAAGTGCTGTATTGAGAGTGACTATAGGACTAGTCCAGGTCCTGTATTCAGAGTGACTATAAGCCTAGTTGCAGGTCCTGGTCCTGTATTCAGAGTGACTATAGGACTGGTTTCAAGACTAGGTCCTGTATTTAGAGTGACTATGGGACTGGTTCCAGATCCAGGTCCTGTATTTAGAGTGACTATGGGACTGGTTCCAGGTCCTGGTCCTGTATTTAGAGTGACTATGGGACTGGTTGCAGGTCCTGGTCCTGTATTTAGAGTGACTATGGGACTGGTTCCAGGTCCTGGTCCTGTATTCAGAGTGACTGAAGAACCCGTTCAGGACCAGGTCCTGACTTGTGTCTGTGTCTCGCCCTGCAGAAAAACTCGCTCAGGCCAAAGAGGAGAACCTGGACATGCACCAAGTCCTGGACCAGACCCTGCTGGAGCTCAACAACCTGTAGAGACCTGATGTCCAGGTGTGATCAGAGACCAGCTGAGACCTGAAACCTGAAATGTTTGAACCTGAAGTTCTGATCAATAAAAATTATTATTTGAAAATGTTTAATTCATGAGTCATCAGATCTCAACTCTTAAATATGTATCAGAGGAAACATAGTGTACAGTAAGTTATCACCCCCCTACACACACACACACACATGTTTTGATTGATGTTTTTTGGGGGGAGTAGCTCAGTCTGTAGGTACTTGGGTTGGGAACCGGAGGGTCACAGGCTCAAGTCCCAGTGCGGACCAGATCTGGAAGTCTGTCTGGTATGGAGAGGTGCCAGGGCACTGCTGAGGCTCCCATGAGCAAGGCACTGAACCCTCAAATGCTCTGGTTCACTCCCTGCTTGTCATGTGACAGCTCCTGTTTGTCTATATAAATAACAGGGATTAATAAAGGATGCATACTTTAATATAAATATATTTCTATACATAAACTTCTTAATATATAAAAACGTTTTTTAAATGATGACCTGTTCGGTGTTCAGTGTTTTATTTTGGAGGCAAAAACCCGATCCTCACATCCTGTTTGTTGATGATGGGGGGGGGGGGGGGGGGGGGCAGGAGTAGGCGGGGACATACTGGAAAACATAACTCAGGGGTGGGTAGAACATACAGCGTCATAGAGGAGTCCTGTGATTGGTCGGTAATGTTTGACACGCAGAGTTTCAGGCCAATCAGCGCTCAGTATGAGGGCCCTGCTTGTTCTGTAGATGTGTAAACTGTCAGAGTAAAAGCAGAGTCCAGTCTGAGCTGTCTGAAGCCCATCCACATGCTGTGAGATCACGTCACTGTGACGCAGCGCCGCAGCTTGTAACCTTACTCCAGATGCTACTGACGGGAAGTGGGCGGGGCTTCTGCAGAACACTGACGGGACGGCTGTTAGCTGTTAGCTAATACTTGTTTAGCCTTTTTAAACTGTAAATAACATGTTGTTAATGTAACAGACGAGGTGAACACAGACAGGTGAACACAGACAGGTGAACACAGACAGGTGAACACAGGTGAGTGCTAACAGTTAGCTTCTTACTGAGGAAACAACAACATGGCGTTAGCACGAAGGAGCTAACGGTGCAGCTAATAAACAGACTGTTTTATAGAAATATAAATGATTGTTTTATTAAATATATTAACTCGTATAAAGTAAATATCTGCTGCTGTTCATTAACATCAAGTCTAAAAGCAGAAGGAGGTGGTGACGCAGTCTGTTATGGTAATGAGCTTTAAGAAGTTCTAAAAGGTTAATTATAATATATTATTATAATATATATTATATAATATATATATAATATATTATTATATAATATAATATATAATATATTATAATATAATATATATATATTATATATATATAATATATAATATATTATATAATATAATATATATTATAGCTCCTTGTATGACAGGTCAGAGGAGAGGGGAGTGTATGTTAAAGGTGTGTGTAATGATGTGTGTTTGCAGGTTCTTCTTCATGGATTCTGTCAGGAAGTTGCTGTTAGTCGCTCTGATGCTCGCTGCACGAGCCGGTCAGTACCTTTAACCTTTGACCTCATTTTCACCTTTCATATGTTTTTCTTATGATTATTGTTATTGTAAACTTTGATATCATGCTAATAATGGTGATACCTGTTACCATGGCAACAAACTAGGGCTGTTTCGATTAATTTAATCCCCCTAACACCCTAGTTAGGGAGTGTGTCACAGACTGATGCATTCTGGGGTTTGTAGTCCCTGCTCATGGTTTGTGGTCTCTCTGTAGACGGTCTGAACCACCTGGTGACCTTCCCTCAGCCCCCCGTGGTCGAGCTGGGATCCAACTTCACGGCCACGTGTGTGGTCATCAACACGACAGAGGTCACAGCGGACGACCTCTACTGGAACCTGTCAGGAACTACATTACCCAGAGAGCTCTATTCCAAGATAAACAGCACCGCCCTCAGCGTGACCTTCACCATCACGTCAGAAAGACAAGAGTGGCTCCTCTGTCAGTGCGGGAAAACATCGCCTGACGTCGTCCTCAACCAAGGTCGTTTCATGCATGGCATCATGCTGGTCAAAGGATGTACGTAACCACGACCATCAAAACACGAGAAACTGACTCTAACCATTCACCAATAACCACGACCATCAAAACACGAGAAACTGACTCTAACCATTCACCAATAACCACGACCATCAAAACACGAGAAACTGACTAACCATTCATCAATAACCACGACCATCAAAACACGAGAAACTGACTAACCATTCATCAATAACCACGACCATCAAAACACGAGAAACTGACTCTAACCATTCATCAATAACCACGACCATCAAAACACGAGAAACTGACTCTAACCATTCATCAATAACCACGACCATCAAAACACGAGAAACTGACTCTAACCATTCACAATAACCACGACCATCAAAACACGAGAAACTGACTCTAACCATTCACCAATAACCACGACCATCAAAACACGAGAAACTGACTAACCATTCATCAATAACCACGACCATCAAAACACGAGAAACTGACTCTAACCATTCACCAATAACCACGACCATCAAAACACGAGAAACTGACTCTAACCATTCATCAATAACCACGACCATAAAAACACGAGAAACTGACTCTAACCATTCACCAATAACCACGACCATCAAAACACGAGAAACTGACTCTAACCATTCACCAATAACCACGACCATCAAAACACGAGAAACTGACTCTAACCATTCACCAATAACCACGACCATCAAAACACGAGAAACTGACTCTAACCATTCACAATAACCACGACCATCAAAACACGAGAAACTGACTCTAACCATTCACCAATAACCACGACCATCAAAACACGAGAAACTGACTCTAACCATTCATCAATAAGATTCAAGATTTGTATTTGTCACATGCTCATACAGATGTGCAGTGAAATGTAAGGACTGTTCCGCAAGGCCATGCAATAAACACCCAAATTACTAATACACATAAATACAGTAAAATAGAATATAATCTAAAAAATAAAAAAATAATTATTTGAATGTACAAAATATTAAATATAAAATAATGTAAACAGTGTAAAGTATCCAGGGTGTCAAAGTGCAATGTGCAGATTGGAATGTGTGGTGTGTGTGCATCATGTAGTCACAGTTCTGTTTTGTTTTTAACTGAGGAGAGTGGAGTTAACAGTCCGGACAGCCGGAGGAAAGAAGCTCTTCCTGAGTCTTTCTGTGTTCACCTTGATGTGTCGAAGGCGCCTGCCAGAGGGTAGCCATGTAAACAGTCCGTTACCTGGGTGGTAGGGATCACTCATGATCCTCTTTGCCCTGGCTGTGCTCCTCCTTGTGAAGATGTCCTGGATGGTGGGGAGTGTTGTACCCATGGTACGCTCTGCTGACTTCAGCACCCTCTGCAGGGCTCTTCGGTCACACCCAGTGCTGTTCCCGTACCACTGGGTGATGTTTCCAGTCAGCACACTCTCCACCGCTCCGGAATAAAAAGTCTTCAGGACCTTCACAGAGACTTTGAATTTCCTCAGCTGTCTGAGGTGATAGAGGCGCTGCCTCGCCCTCTTCACCTGACTGTCTATGTGGGTTGTCCATGTTAAATCCTCAGAGATGTGCACCCCCAGCTACTTGAAGCTGCACACCCTGTCCACCAGCGTCCCATCAATTCTCAGTGGGGTATAATCCCTCTGCTGTCCTCTCCTGAAGTCCACAATCAGCTCCTTGGTTTTGCTGACGTTCAGGAGCAGGTTGTTGTCCTGGCACCACTGTGACAGGTTTCCAACCTCCCCTGTATACGTCTCCTCAGAAAGTGAAACAGAAAGCTTCCACACTCGTTTATTGTTCATGCTGAGAGATATTTGTAGGACTCTACTTGTGTTATGGTGTGATCATGGATGACCACTGGTCTCATTAGTTTTGTTTGTGTTGAGGAGGAGATGGTGTTGTTGATGTTTGAATGAGTCGGTTTGCAGGATGGCCGTGTCATCTGAAGATATCCTGCGAGTTGTTCCTGCAGCTCCCGTTTCTGAGCGCACCTGAATGCATCTCTCATTGTCTGAGCTCCCCTGAATGCAGCATGCTAACAGTGCATCCCCTGAGTAACGGCAGAGAGAGAGAGACATGCCCAGAAAAGTCTGAAGACAACTAAGCAGACTACTTTATTTTCTGATTCAGTTCAATTCAATTTTATTTGTATAGCGTCAACTCATAACAAGTGTTATCTCAAGACACTTTACAAAAAGCAGGTAAAATACCTTACTCTTTGTCTGTTAACATTACAAAAGAGCAGGTAAAAAGACCTTACTTATTGCTATATTACAAAGACCCAGCCTATCCATCATGAGCACTTTAGCAAAGCAGCAAAAGTTACAGTGGTAAGAAAAAACTGCCTTATTAAAAGGCAGAAATCTTCGGCAGGATCCCCGGCTCAAGACGAAACAGCCTTCACAGGCCTAGACTGCGCCGGGCTTGTAAAGGGATAGGGGGAGAGTTCTGGCAGGCCGTCAACCAATGATCTTGAGGAGTTTAAGAGAGCTCAAGAGCTCCCAGGAAAGTAGATGGTTAGTGACTGAGATTTACAGATAGATACATGCAGTAATATGATGTACTGTATATGCACAGAGAGAGAGAGAGAGAGAGAGAGAGAGGAGCTCAAGGTGCCAGTTCCCCCGGTAGTCTAAGCCTATAGCAGCATAACTAAGAGCTGGTCTACACCAGCACCGGCCCTAACTATAAGATTTATCAAAAAGGAAAGTTTTAAGTCTATTCTTAAAAATACAGACTGTGTCTGCCTCCTGGACCCCGGCTGGAAGGCGGTTCCAGAGGAGAGGAGCCCGATAACTGAAGGCTTTACCTCCCATAGTACACTTAGAGACTGTAGGTACCACCAGCAGGCCTGCACTCCGGGACCGCAACGCTCTCGAGGGGCAGTACGGCACTAGTAGCTCCTTAAGATAAGATGGTGCCTGGCCATTTAGAGCTTTGTAAGTGAGAAGAAGGATCTTGAACTCTATTCTAGACTGTATAGGGAGCCAGTGCAGAGAAGCCAAGACAAGAGTAATGTGGTCCCATTTCCTGGTTCTGGTCAGTACACGAGCTGCAGCGTTCTGGACTAGTTGAAGAGTCTTTAGAGACTTGCCAGAGCACCCTGACAAAAGAGAATTACAATAATACAATCTGGAGGTAACAAATGCATGAACTAGTTTTTCTGCATCATTTTGCGACAGGATATTCTTGATCTTGGATATATTACGAAGGTGAAAATAGGCTGTTCTTGAAATTTGCTTGATGTGAGAGCTAAAGGAGATATCTTGATCAAATAGAACTCCTAGATTCCTAACAGTGGTGCTAGATGCCAGGCTGATGTCATTAAGGACAGTCAAATCACTAGAAAAAGTCTCTCTGAGGTTCTTAGGGCCTAGCACAATAACTTCAGTCTTGTCTGAGTTAATTAGCAAAACATTTCTGGTCATCCAGGTCCTAACGTCCTTAAGGCACGTTTCTAGCTGACATAACTGACTGGTGCCATCGGGCTTCATTGATACATAAAGCTGAGTATCATCTGCATAACAATGAAACTGTATGGAGTGTTTCCTCATAATATTTCCCAGAGGAAGCATATATAATGTAAAGAGAATTGGTCCAAGCACTGAACCTTGTGGGACTCCATGGCAAACTTTAGTGTGCATAGAGGACTCATCATTAACATGTACAAACTGAGATCGGTCTGATAAGTAGGATTCAAACCAACTTAAAGCAGTCCCTGTAATTCCAAGCAAATGCTCCAGTCTGTACAACAGGATCTGATGGTCAATGGTGTCAAAAGCAGCACTAAGATCTAACAAGACGAGCACAGAGAGATGTCCCCTGTCTGAAGCTAGAAGTAGATCGTTTGTAACTCTAACTAGTGCAGTCTCAGTGCTATGGTGGACTCTAAATCCTGACTGAAACTCCTCAAATAAACTGATGTCACGGAGAAAGTCACACAGCTGATTAGCTACCACCTTCTCCAGGATCTTCGAGATAAAAGGAAGGTTGGATATAGGCCTATAGTTAGCTAGAGTTCCTGAATCTAGAGTAGGCTTTTTAAGTAGAGGTTTGATTACCGCTACTTTAAATGCCTGTGGTACATAGCCTGCCAGTAGAGACATATTGATCATATCTAATATAGAGGTGCTAACTAAGGGAAAGACCTCCTTAAACAGCTTGGTTGGGATTGGGTCCAAAAGACAGGTTGACGGTTTCGACGCAGAAAAAATGGAATATAGCTCTGAAAGGTCGATTGGAGAAAAACAGTCGAGACTAATATCTGGTCCTGGAACTGTCTCTGCCGTATCAGACGTATCTGCACCAAGTAAGGGCAGGAGGTTACTAATTTTGTCTCTGATATCTAGAATTTTGTTGTTGAAAAAGCTCAGGAAATCATTACTGCTGAGGGCTAAAGGAATACAAGGCTCAATGGAGCCATGACTCTCTGTCAGCCTGGCTACAGTGCTGAAAAGGTATCTAGGATTGCTTTTGTTTTCCTCGATTAGAGAGGAGTAGTAGGCAGCTCGAGCGTAACGTAGAGCCTTCATATATTTTCTATGACTATCCTGCCAGAATAAACGAGATTCTACCGTTTTGGTCGAGCGCCATATTCTTTCAAAATTCCGCGACGATTGTTTTAGAGTACGGGTTTCTGAGTTGAACCATGGAGCCACTCTCTGCCGCTTGACAACCTTCTGTTTCAGGGGAGCAATCGAATCAAGAGTAACTCTCAGTGAATCCACTGCACTATCAACAGACTGATCTAGCTGAGAGGGACTAAAGCTATCATAAGAGTTTCCAACTGGGTTGAAACACGGCACTGAATCAAAAGCAGCTGAAATAGCTTCCTTAAATCTAGCCACAGCACTATCCGACAAACTTCTAGAGAGCACACCTCTTCCAAGCAGAGGTAATTCTGGTAGGACAAAGTCGAATGTAATAAGATAATGGTCTGATAGAAGAGGATTTCTAGGAAAACTGTAAGGTTATGGATTTCAATGCCATAAGCTAAAACAAGATCCAGGGTGTGGTTGAAACGATGAGTAGGTTCGTTTACACCCTGGGTGAAACCAATAGAGTCTAATAATGACATGAATGCTGTGCTGAGGCTATCATTATCAACATCCACATGGATATTGAAGTCACCTACAACAATTATTCTATCACTGCTAAGGACTAAATCTGATAAAAAATTCTGCAAATTCAGATAGAAACTCAGAATATGGGCCAGGAGGGCGGTAAACTACAACAACTAGAACTGGCTGAAAGGTTCTTGAGACTGGATGTGAAAGACTAAGAACAAGTCTTTCAAAAGAAGAAAAATTCAGCTTTGGTCGAGGGTTAACTAGAAGACCAGAATTTAAAATAGCTGCTACTCCACCACCTCGTCCGGTGTCTCGAGGTATATGAGTACAGAAATGACTGGGAGGAGTGGATTCATTTAAACTAACATATTCATCTCGACACAGCCAGGTTTCAGTCAAACAAAGGAAATCAATATGCTGATCTGATATCAGATCATTCACTAAAAGAGATTTGGATGCTAAGGACCTAATGTTCAAAAGTCCGCAGTGAGATACCCTAATGAGATTTTGACGATTTACGCCGTTTGGATGACTTATAAAAACGGGTCTGGACCGGGGGACAGACACAGTACCTATAGTATAACTACAGTTAGATTCAGAATTACAGCTATAGTGACTGGGAGACAGATCTAAGGGAGGCGCTGAGAAGCATGTAAGACTGCAGCTCTGCCTCCTGGTCTGAACTC